TTGTCCTTTTTGGTAAGTAATAATACACCATATTTTTGATACAATTGAAGTGATGTGATATCAAAATTAATTTTTTTTGCAGTGTATATCTGATCACCAAAACCATCATAGAACGATTCTGATCTTTAACCCAATGATGATAGGCAAAAATAACGATTAAAAGGACAAATAAAGTCATTTTGCCTGAAATGGACGGGAGAAGCACTGCATTTGGAGAGTTCGTCAGAGAAATCCATCTGTGGCAGTTTAGCCAACAAGGCATACAAATACAACCCCAGATCATGCTGTATCCCGAGATCCAGGAGAAGTACCAATAACCTCCTCGCTGAGCTACTGATTGAGTCAAACATCCTCTGAAGTGTAGATAAAACAAACGTATGAACCTATAGCCATCATGACGTGACATGCATGGTCAAATTATTGGAAGTTACGTACTCGAAGACGTCGCTGAACACTGCGATGAAGATGTTCACCAACAGATCACCACCAGACAGACTTCTACAGTCTCAAGAAGATCAGCGTGCACAGATGTTCCTTGAAACGCTTACGTCTCTAAATAGACTCCAGACATCTTCGGAAATATTATAAAGTTTGTCTGCCGGACAGCAAAACGATGGTTTTGTATAGGTGGGTATAATTAGATCGGAGGATGCAGCATGACCCCAATATAAGCAGAAGTAGTTACAGCAAATATTGAAGGCCACAACGCGATAGGTTACATTCTATAGCTGACCGATGTGGAGGTTCAAGCGAAATGTCCACTAGTTTAGTGCACACTTAATCACGGGTTCCGTTCAGTAATTCGGAAGAAAAATTAAAGCCGTTGGTCCCCGGTTCACGAGTTGATGGGTCGATAGGTAGGGTCCAGGTGTGGGAGCTGCCTTCCTGGCGTCGATAGCATTGATACTCAGCACGGAAAACAAGAACGACGGAAAACAAATCAAGGAAAAAAACCTGGAAGCCAACGCAGGAGTGCAGAAACTGCCACAGAATTGGGCAGTTTATATTCCTGCATCGACTTTTAGATGTTTCAATGATTTTGAAGGAAGAGATCCACCAACCAACTGGCTGAACCACCAGAAAGTGCTAAACCTGAAACTCAGTACCCAAATAAAAATCATTTTAATCTTACCCTTAGTATGGAACTTTAAGGAATTCACTGACTTATTCTTCAAAGTACTAAAATAAAAATACTGAAAAACTCAGCAAAAAAAAGTAAACAAATAAATTACTGAAAAAGTCAGCAATTCTTTTACTCTGAGTTAAACGGTAATTTTTGACAGTTGAGAGTTGATTCTGCAATTTAAGGAATTTTCAGTAAAAGTAAAAACTACTGGGTTGATTACTGAAAACGCAGCTGTATAAACACCCAGTAAAATTTTACCGACTTCGCTAATCTAAACTCTGTTTGTAGCTGCCGATTTTCCCGGCGGAAAACAAATACAAACCCGGGAAGACGCGGCAGCCGCCTATTGAGTCTCTTTGAATTCCGTACTATAAAAGGGCCTGGATCTATTGACGTCACTTCCGTCAGTGTCGACTCAGTACCAATAATTCCAGTTTCGGATTGTAGTTTACATGTGTTATCATTAAATAAACAAACCAAATATAAAGGAAAATTTATGAATCCAGTCCATTTCGCACAGAAATTAAAAATGTTACACAAATCGTTTCGAACGAATTTAAAAAAAAATATGAATTGGAAACAAGAGAGTATTGTTTAAACAACTTTGTATAAATTTTCAAATATGTATACACATAACTTTCTTCTTCTTTGTATTTCAAGCTTATTGCTTATGGCATATAAGCTTATTGTGTGCACTTATCTTAAGTACAAAAATTAATAAGTTGAACTCAGATGCATCTGTTCCTTTCCTTTATTTAACGTCGGTCTCTGTTCCGCAATCTAGTGCCAATCACCGACGGACATCGATTGCCATGTGCAGGAAGGCAGCTTCCACACCTGCGTAGGATATCGCACCCATTCACAACACACATGGGCCGGGACCAACGGCTTCCCTTCCGAAGGAAGACGTGACCAGAGATGTTTATGCCTCAGAAAAATCCCACCGACCTCGGCTGGGGATTGAACCCAGACCCATTGGGGTGTTAGAAAGCAGTTACGCTTACCACTACACCACCGGCGCCGGCTACTCTGATGCATCGAAGTTAGGCTATGACAACTATGATGTAAGAAATTCTTCGGGATCAAAACAAAAATAAAAATCATATAGGGTCGATTTCCCTAATGTAGGCCTAACTGTCAGCTCAACTTTCCATAATGCTGGGTTTACACTAGGCAAGTCAAATGATCAACTCAATTGAATTCAATTGGCTTGAAAAGTTGAGCCTGGTTCAATTTTTTTTCAATTCAAGTGAGTTGATCAAGTCAGTTTAATGGCATGGTTTACACGTGCAATTCGCGTTCAAGTCAGTTGAATTCAACTGACTTGATCAATTGACTTGCCCTATCTAAGCCCAGCTTTAGTATCAAGTAAAAATTTAACATAAATTCGATCACTACTAGCAGCAGTACCTTCTTGTCTGCCATTAGAAAAGAATAAAGAGAGATAGCAAACTATACTATCTCTTTCTAAGAAACGATGTGCAGCGGAATCAGTTTTGTGTCGAGTCACCTCTCTGCTACAGTTTTACACACTGTGAATGAGAACGATCCAAATTTGAGTTTAGTTCACTCATAATCCCCAAAAGTGCAGGAACTCAGCGATGAGTGAAATTTGTCTCATGGTTTCTGTGGAAAACCTAAAAAATCTGCCGGAAATGAGGAAATTGACGAAAATTTTATTCAGCCTCTGAGTAGTACCAATAGACTGAGTGAATCCAATCTTTACTGTTCTCAAATTCGGGATTTTTTCCCTGGAAAACCTGGGAAAACATGAGGCAGATTTACTCATCGCTGAGTTCCTGCACTTTTGGCGATTATGAGTGAACTAAACTCAAATTTGGGTCGCTCTCATTCGCCGTGCATGTTGTAAATAGTCTCGTAATATCAAAGGAGCTTGTAAAGTCAATATCAAGCATTATATGTTGTTCCAATATAACGCATGATATTGACAGCGTATGAAAGCGAAAAAATATAATTTCGCTAATGATTATGCCATCACTGATTTTGACAAATAGTACAGTTTAGTAAGACCTTCCAGATGGCTGATAGTTTTGACCAAAAATGTGTGAATAGGCAAAATATTGTTCTGTCTAATTTCTAATTATACTGACCACATAGTTTTTGACAAAGTTGTTCATTTGAATGCGGACTAATGAGCTAAATATTGTTTTGATTCATTTCTACTGATCGTGGTCATATAGAAAGCTTTCGTTTTAATCAAAGTTTAGTTTATTGAAACTATTCAGATGGTGGATAGTTTTGACTGAAACTGCATTACTAGGATCGTTTTGCTTAATTTGTCATGATCTTGACCACATAACAAAAAGTTCCCGAGTCCCGCAATGTTGTTCATTTGAGTGAGACCGTTCAGCTGGCTAATTAATTTCAAAAATGTGTGACTTCGGTAATTTTTTACCGAACTTTCAACAGCTGAACGTTCAGTAAAACTGTAAATCTCATTTCAAAAGCTGTTTCACTAAATTTTAAATTCAAAACACTGTCACCCTTGTTTAAATAATCCAATCTTGCCATTGTGGTGAAGTTTTCCTTATTTTGAAGCTCTAAAGCTAATGAATTAACATGTTTGATTTTTACCGAACAGTTCAGCTGTTGAAAGTTCGGTAAACATTACCAAAGTTGGTAATCATTTTTGTTTCAAAAACAGTACTCACTTTGTTCATAGAACTTAAGCCCAAGAACAATAGTTGCATAACTCTGTTTCATAATTATTCTTCACCATGTGTATAAATAAGAACTTATCTTTTGAAAAGAAGTATTTTTTATCCTCAAACACACTTCTTCGAACTATAGGAGACGTGTCTTTTGGAACCCTTATAAATATTATGCTTAGAACCAATTCCCATCCCATCACAAGTAACCAACAAGCTCGCTAATCGCCATTTAAGAGATATAATGTTAATATGGAGCTTCCGAACTTTATATAACATTTATATATCAACCTTATACCGCGAAACGGCTAATTAGAGGACTCGTTGATATGTGCTATGAACGCTCAATCATATCGGTTGCATAAATAATGGGAGGCATACTGCATATTTGATGATTATGACCTGCATTTTCTATGTATGATAAATTTAGTCAATTACCGGTTTTACCGGTATTAAATTTCTCAATACCGCAAAACCGGTTTCTCAAAAACATATCCGGTAATCAAAATCCTAGTTTTAATGTTTTGGAGTTAGGTCGACGCCATTTAATTTGATATACACACTTGACGGCGCCGTTGATTGAGTGGAAAAAGTGGCTGTTTTCCTACCCAAGGGGTCTAGCTTCAATCCTAGCCTGGTCCACGTGTTGATGGATTCGGTATATAAACGTTAGGTGTGGATACCTTGGCATCAGTAGTTGGCAACTATAATTGCGGAACAATATACTCAAAGATGAAAAAAATCTTTCATACTAAAAAGATTCATCCATCGGAACAATGGTAAAACAGATAAATGTAAGATTCTCTTATGGTTCCGTAGGTGAGGTATGCAATTCTATAGCGTAGTCGTAACGATAACCCATTTAATTAAATAATTCAATTCGTAAATTAAATCAATTCTATTAGGTACAAACTTACATACATACATACATACATACATACATATATACATACTCACCTCATAAAAAGGATTTGCTCAAAAAGATTGACTCTGAAAATATTGCGCACAGTGCAAGTACTGTATCATTTTGCGATATTATGAATGATCTAGTGCTTCATACATTCTGTTTATTTCATTATTTTTATCTATGATCAGGAAAATTATATTCAGCGCAACAATTCAAGTATGACGATGATTGCTTAAATATATTCAAACGATAGGAGCTTAAACCAAATACGGCATAATTCTTTTAACATAAAACTCACCTTAATATTTGATATTTGACCTCAAAAAGATCAGGCATCCATTAAAGAACCGTCGGAAAGATCGTCAAAAAATGAATTCTAAATATGACTCAAAAGTGGTATCAATTTTTCAATCTCATCGTCACTTTTATGATTCTCAATAAAATTGAATAAATAATTCATCCGCTTCGTGTTATTCAAATGCCGCCGCCGCTGCTGCTGCTGCTGCTGCTGGGTTCTCTCACATTTTGTTTTTTTTTTCGCTTAGTAGAAGCAACAATCTTTTGCACTCATACACCTGAACACGTATACTCAAAGTGGCGGTGTTCTATTTGTTATTTTTATCAATACATTTTCAAATTTGCACGTATTATCACACACTTACATTTAAGTATCGGCGTTAAGAAGCAATTTTAACTTGTACTAATATCTAATCTGCACACATCTCGGATGCAGAAACTTACTCCTCACTATGATTTAGTTTAGCAACTTAGTAATTATTCTCGCTCACATACAATAGCACATTATCTATCCTATAGTATATCTTCATCCACTGTCGTAGCTTTGAACTTGTTCTGAAGCTTAAATCTAAACGTTCATAAATCTTGATCAAGCTTCAGAACGTGAATTATTATCTTATTTTCACAACGCGTAAACGAAATCGTGATACCGACTTCAATTTGGACACTTTTCCAGAATTCAGATGACTGAGAAACGCATTGCCCACTCACACTATAGAGACTGAGACTGCATCTCCGACGTCAAAACTTGTATCTGATCCAACCGATGCCCACGCTTGGCACGAAAATGATTGAACAAATCAATTCGAACACGTTTGCAGGCCGGTTGTCGGTAAACGACTGAGTTGAGTGTCTCTTCAAAGAATTCCAACCCAACCTGACTTGCTCTCGCTCTTCTCTCATTACGTTATTATACTATACACACTGAATGGTGGAACGCCAATGAAAACACAAACACTTCCATGTTCTACGTACGAAACGAAACGCCACAGAATCATACAATCCTGTTTTGAGCAACAAACTAAGCAGTCTGTAGTAAATGTGGGGGTAAATGCTACAAAACGACACCGTCAGTCGAAAACCACAATGTCGCAACATATTGGGATATGGAGATCACGATGAATAATATGAAATTTTCTTGTTGTGTGTTGAGCAACCAGCAAAATCAAAATGTTTTATAGTAATTTGAACTGAAGATCTTCGACGAGTTTCAATATCGACCTAGTTCAATAATTGTAACTAGGTGTCTTCCAGAACCTGAAAACTAAAAAGAAGACATTGTTTTCTACCACTGAATACAAAGAAGTTCTGTTTAGAATACACAATCTTGCCACGTGACGTAACGTAAAACTCACAGTTCACCCTTATTCTGCATTCCACTCAAAACGGATTTCCCATAAAAATGTTTTGTATGGGACATCCGTTTTGAACGGAATAGAGAATAAGGGTAACTTCGTGGAAAAAATAACCAAATAATCACCACCGATAAACAGACATAACACATTGAACATTTCTCACTGTAAAACATCGTCGTTAAAACACTACCGCCATCTGTTGAGTACACTGTGACATGCAGTACACTTAACAGATAGCGGTAGTGTGTAAACTTCAAACGCAAGGGATTTGAATTACAACAAAATCTTGTGCCAACAATCGAACTTATTGTACGTAAATCATACAAGTAAAATTAACATATTGTTTTTACAATAGATCTAAGATACGTCCCACATAGTAAGTTTTTTCAGGTTTGTTTATATAATTAAGATACATGGGGTTCTTTTTCTATTTTGGAAACAATAAATTATTTGGTTGTTAATCGTTATGGACAATAAGATTTATTGTAAATTTAAAAAAAGTCTACTGTATGGTTACAATGCCTCTCATTGTACCTGTATGGTCCTTTGTTTACGAGTTACCCTAATAAATTGTTATGATTAATTTGCTTAACGACGTATTCGGGTATGATCCAAACCATTTGTAGAATAGTTATATTATTTAGGTTATCGTTCATTGATGTTATTTTTTTATTAGGGTGCTCCACCCCCATATATGATTAGAATAAATTATATTTCAGTTTTCAAGTTCTTAAAGATACTTACAATCATTGAAATACAATATTGAAAATCATCGAATATCTTCAGTGCAAATTTCTATAAAACATTTTGAGTTTTTCGGTTGCTCAACACACTAGGATGTTATCATTTACACCTATTTCCATCGTATCTGCCCAGACTGCATCAATTAAGCTAGCGTTGTGCGCTAAGCCTCATGTGCCCCAATAGAGAGCAAGAAGCGACGAATAAGAACCACACGGACGGACGACGGGACCGACCGACGGCGATCGGTATTCGTACCTACATGCAAAAAAGTAAGCAAGCACATACCGTAACCGTATACGGCTCAAACCGGGAGATGCGGTAGTGACCTGTGAAAGCTGAGAAGGTGGACGAAATGAAAAATTGGTGACTAGAAGACAACCAGTATGAACTTCGGAAAGATTTGATAACTCTTTGTTGAAATGCGTAACGTAGAGCTCATAATAGTATATCGCAGATAGTTATCCTACTACATATATAAAAAACCTAAATTTATCTACTTATGGTGGAATCTGACCCTGAATATTAAGACCTAATGATACGTTTATGGACATAAAGCTCAGTTTTGGAGTTAGGGAGCGACATTTAGAGAAAATTGACCCCCTTAGTCACGTTTTTCCTATACTTCATGCATTGCTTGTCACAAATTTATAAACCCCCCTCTCCTTTCCCCTGAGAGCACGACGTACTTAAAGGATGCTCCCTTAATGATCTTGTTATCCAGGGCTCATTAGAGTGGCCCAAAATAACACTTTACCTAGGTTTCCACCTGAGAGATCAACCTCCATAATGAATTTCAATCATCAAAAGTGGTTATCAAAATAAGACCTATAGTTGATTTGATACATCTAATGGTAAATTTTATGACAAACTACTTTGCTCAATATAGTATACGCCTATGAATGATTTTAATTTTATTTATTCATGATTTTCTTCAGAAAGGATAGTCATATTTTTGCATATTTTCTTTAGTATCTTTATGTATCTGATATGTCCAGTGTTCGGAATATCATTCTCACATCACTCATTCATTGAGCCTTTCTGAGACAATAAAATCGCGTGCGAATCTGGCAAACACATCTCACGCTTGAGATTCTCATTCCTTTTCACGCACTCACACTAACAGCGCCAAAAAATCATTGCAGCTTGAAACTCATAAAAACCGCTCAAAAATCAACTGTAAAATCTTCTAGATTGCTTTAGGATTTAATGAAAAATTGACCACTTATCTCAGGATTTCCGGAACATTTTCCAGGGCTATCACATGAGCAATGCGTTACAATATGATGTCATGATTATGAATGATTTGTTTTGACGGCATCTTACAAAGTTAAATGATTTATGGCACAAATTTCATCAACATAGCTGCAGTTAGTAAGAAAAATAATAAATGCCACACTTATATCCGACCCCCACGAAAAGGGGGAAGGTCATAAAGAGACTATGCTATATTTTAGCCCAACTCTTATCCTTGATGACGCATCAAGCAGGAACCATTAGAGTAAATCAAAGATTCGGTAAATGTTAAATCTACTAAAATTGTATGTTCACTAACGCCGAGAATTCCGAGAATACCTTTGCCTCCTGAACAACTTTACCGTAGACACCTTTTTTCCATGAGGGTTGCAATATATAGCGTGAAAAATGTAGAATAGTTAGGACAATTTAATACTCACTAGCGTCACCTAGTGAGATAATCCCCAGTTAATATGACCACCATCTGAAAGCCTTAGATCTCCTTAATAACTTTTCCGAAGACAATACCCTTTCAAACGGTCAGCATATTGTGTTATTACATAATGGAATATGGAATCATTATATACAAGTGCCATATTACCTACCACGCGAATATTTGCTTCTGCACACCCCCCCCCCCCCCCCCCCCACACTGTTGCCGGCGCCGGTGGTGTAGTGGTAAGCATGACTACTTTCTCAAGTTCTTCTTTTTTCTCACGAATAAAATTCGTCGATTACAGCGCCAAAAATGTGAAACTGTCACTTTTCTTCAGATTGGCCAACATTTCACATACAAACTTTGAGCCGTTTGCGACACTATTTCCCGTGGACCAAATGCGCTTAAATTTTAAGGGGATTATTTTATGCACCCAAACTATCATTTCAATGTGTAAGGTCGGGCGGCGCCGGTGGTGTAGTGGTAAGCGTGATTACCACTCACCCCAGCATGCCTGGGTTCAATCCCTGTCGGCGCCGCCGGGATGTTCTGAGACACAACAGCGCTGATCAAGGGAAGCAAAGACCGTTGGTCCCCGGTTCATGAGCTGATGAGTCGATAGGTAGGGTCCTGGTGTGGGAACTGCCTTCCTGGCGTCGGTGGAATTGGTGCTCAGCACGGAAACCAAGATGGACAGAAAACAAATCAAGGAAAAAAATGTGCAAGGTTTGAAATTCACTTTTTCCATACAAGGTTGGGTCAGTCTAATATACAGCGATCCAGTGAATAGCGCGCTTGGTGGTGCAGTCCACTCACACTATTTCTCCGTTGTCTTCCAACCAATTGAGCTGATCTTTTGTATGTGATTGATGTCAACCATATAGGGGAAATGGATGTAATGTCGGCCTAAATGCCCCTAATTTGGGCCCATACATAAGCAATCGACTAAATTTTCAATAGCGACCTAAAATATCAATTAGTACCGTCCCAATGACGCCTCATCTAGATAAAATTGATGAATAGCAAATTTCTAGCGATGGCCCCAATCTTAGATCCATAAGCCAATATTAGAGCCATTTCCCCTACTAGTCGACTTCAGATAGTCAGCTCAATTGGTTGGAGGATAGTCAAGAAACCCACTTCGAGGGCTTTCTGTAGATGTATTCTGGGAATATAATTCCATATTGATAATTTTCCGTGGCCGTAAACTTAATCCGGATGTATTCGGAAGATCCAGATTACGTAAATACCCACAAAAAATTAATAAAATGGCAGAATATTCACCTTATCAATCTATACGCATCAAATTGATGAGCTTTGTTTTGTCACATGATCATCATTATCAGAAAGACGATTGTAGCCTTTGGTACTGGTATCCATAATATTCAAATTAGGTCAAGCATTCGTGTTTTGATCTATCAAATGGTGATTTTTATGAGAATCAGGTCTCTGACCTCGAAAGGAATTTACAAAATGGCATTATGACCATTTATAAGTGAATTTCGATTGTGCTCTCCGGAACCGGTATTGGGAACATCTGTGCAGGAGAAAACACTAATTCTGACCTGATACCAAAATTTGGTGTTGGCCAGCATGACATAAGAGGTAAAATACCAAAGAATTGCATTCAAAATACTTTGTAAATAACAAAAAAATTATATTTGGATACCAAAAGAACAACTGTGTGGTACTGTTTTGTTATTGCATTATTATAATTTGGTATTGGTCTGATAATTTGGGAACATTTTTTTGGTATTATTTTTTGGTATTTTACCTCTTTTGTCAGGCTCATGCATACCAATTTAGGGTATCAAGATATTCGTTCCTGCTCGGACAGTGGCCACTAGCTACCAGAATATTGGCAAAATATTCGAAGAATTTTATACGTATCATTTTGATGTGTTTTGATGTGTCGCATGACGATTATGGTGCTTTATTTTGAAGCAAGTGCCAGTTCGATTCATAACCCCAAAATATGAGCCTGTAAAAAACGGTAAATATGTATTGATGAAGATTTCTTGAAGATTACAGTTTAAAATAATATAGCTCTTATTAACGCTATTCTTGGATAAAATG